TTAATGTGCGTTTGTCATATTATTTGTAGCATACAGTTACGAATAATCTAAAGAATATAAGTAGACAAATTACAGAAAACATAACAAATAACACTAACAGAAAATTCAATACAGGGAAAACCACGAATTAAAATTTTCTGGGTCGATCGTCTGTGACATTCAGTTTCTGAGAAGTATACCACAAAGCAATTCGGTAGCACGTTCCAAGTACGAGTTGTAGAGACTTCCGCCGTCACAGCTGATCCCGTTCCGCGAACAATTGCCATCGCCATTCATTGTCGACCACAGCAGCGGTAGAACGCAGATGGAGAGATACACCCCACAGGGTAGGGCATGTCATCACGGAGTTGACGACGATTCAAGTCTCCATCACGAACGCGCGAGGAGGGAGGGGGAGTGAGAGGGGCAAAGGAGGAACAAGGCCAGGGCGAACCGCTTTCCCCCTCCTTCGCCCCCCCCCTCCCCCAACCGCTCTGGCCCGTGCTACACCGCCGCCGCCAGCCCCGCATGGGGCCTGCGATTTCTCGAGATGATCCTATCGCTCGCTCTGCGCACCAGGCTGACCAACGGCGAAGAACGAGAAGAGATGGAAGGTGCGGAGGAGGTACCGGTAGAAGTGGAAGGAGGTGGATTGTTTATCTAGTGTTACTCGTAAGCTCACTAGTCCCTAATGGAAGTGCATGTAAAATTCCGGGGGGTGTGGTGTTCCTGCCCCGAACTTCCCATCTTATGGTGTTCCCGCCTCCAGGTTTCTCCCCATAGCGGGAACTACCCCAGCTGGGAGTTCCTCCTTTACCAGGGTTGGAAGCCAACAGAGACCCAGAACTGCTCTGGTCACCTCATTCTTGGTTTACCCATCTCTGTAGCCCCCGCAGTTAGCCCCCACATCTACAAATCTCTTTAACCCCTATGAAAGAGAGCTAAGAGAGAAGTTCTAACATTGAATTTCTGAGCTCCCGACTGGTGCTTCTTAATATGTACGCAAGCTGAAGAGTTTGTGTGTGCCTATACAGACTGAGGAAAGTACAAAGATGAGGGAGAAATATCGCCCGAAGTCCGTGGCCTGATGCTTTAAGTCGTATACCAGAATTCGCGTGATGTTTACAGTAAATAGCACGGAAATATACCTATCAGAGCAGCCTTCCGATAGAATGTCTGTCCACACTGATTGAATTCGTCCCAGCTTCGCAGCTAGTGACGCTAATCCGCTGCCGTCTGTTCTTGGACTCGAACCCTTGGATCCGCCGTCATCGGAAAGTGAAGGAAGCAATGACCAGGAGAATGAAATGAAAAGAGAGATGCTGATGGAGAGAGAAAAAAACGGTGACGGAGGTGCAGAGAGTTTGACGCCGTAGTGGTGGCAGTAGCAGAGGCAGATTTGGAGGTGGAGGTGGAAGAGAAGGGAATGGAGGGAGTCGAAGTGTCGTTAATGAAGAAAGAAATCGGTGCAGAAGGTATGAGGAGAAATGGGAAGAGTTGAAGCAAAGAGGAAACATATCACAATCTATCGTGTATGGTTGGAGGTAGATTGAGAGATGGAGTAGTTAGAAGTAGGGATTGGGGAAGAAGAGATAAATAGGCAAAGAAAGAAGTGAAGAGAGTACATACAGCACTGGAGGATAAGTAAAGCTGGAATTAGTCGAGACGAATAATGTGCAAACCTTAAGAGACACAACACTGACGAAAATAAAAGGAATAAGAGAGGAATGAAGGAAGAAACTTGCGCAGATCGTAACCGCAACAGAGGCGATACCGAAGGATAGCGAGATGAGATAGAACAGCAGATGGCAGAGGTAGTGGTGGGGCGGTGTCGACTCTTTTTTTATGCTGGAGGTGGAGGAGGAGAGATCTTGGCTTTGAACGCACGCGCGCCTGGGCCGCTAGATTAAGGTCAGCTGATGGCTGATCCATGCTTGTTACCCGGTGGTGCGTCACCGTTCACTGACAGGCATGGGTTTATTCTCAGCGTAAATTTATATCAACCAGCACACATCAACAACGGGAAAATTGCGTTATCAAGAAAGAGTACTCAAATATTATTTCTTAATTACGCTACTAAGCTATAAAATCCAAGACACATTAAACCGCGCCGTATTATTCTTGTTACAACCACAATTGTGTTTATACAAACTCGAATCAATCAAATAATCAATGAAAATTTCCACGGGTTTGTTTGTTGAGACATCAACAAATTACTCAGCAATCAACTTTTTACCTACGCCAACAATAGGGCGACAATCATAGTAGAGGTACATATGAACAATATTTTGATTTCATAAAAAATGTATTTCCTTACCTGAACTGAAATATTTTTGAGTAGTTTGTAGTTAATTCCGGTAACACTACATTAGTTTTTTTTATTATATTTTTTGTACTACAGAAAAGTACTTCTTATTTTCTTATAATATAAGCATATGAATACTGATTATTTTTCGACATTCAACGGTGATGTTATGACCTTGACCTTGTAAAACGTATTGGGACTTTCTAAAGAACTTCCCTTAAATATGTAGAAAACATCAACGCCATTTACAAATTGAGTTAAACAAAATGGCTTTGAACACAATTAGAAGGGGATGCGGGCAAAACGTGAGTTATACATTTTTTCTATTTGAAGATTCTTCCAGGCTTCAATTCGTCTTTCACTGTTAGACTAACAAATTACCGCGGTCTTATATAACTTTTATAAAAGAAAACGCTTACCTCCCTTCTGATATCCACCAATGTCTGAAATTTTTAATGAACATTCACCTATAAACACATTTCCATTTACGAAACGAAAATAAGTGTTTCAATATGGTCAACGCATTTGTTGGCTCATTCACCTTTGCGATTTTATAATGCACTTCTCGTTCTGCAACATGTAAATTACGAGATCAGCACCACATTAAGACACGCACATTCTTGCAAAAGCCTGAGGAACGACCACCAATACACATACGTAACTCAACTCCATATGGCGTAAAGCTCATGAATAATTAATCAAGGCAAGAGCGTGAACACAGTCACCGGACCAACATATGACGAACAGTTACCAGTTCTCCTCCCACAGGATTCGCAAATCGCCCGCGAAATTGTCCATTCAAACTGCCGTGGTATTTTAGCGGTCACCCTAACTACTTCCCGGCATCGGAAAACGCCGGCGCTTTCGCAAGCGGAGTCGACCCATCGGTCAATGACTCGGCGGGCAGCGTTCAGCACGCGGACTCCTTCGAGGACGTCCCCCGTTTGAACCCCGCGGACAACTTTTCATTAGCCTTTTCACCTAGGCGAAGCCCGATTCGGTTTTCCTCGTGGGTACAAGGAAGAGCTTGTCTGTGTATCAGTGGTTCCAAGATCCCCTTTCGTATTTGAAGAACATGGAAAACAAAAACGACAACTGGTTTGAACCTAAAATCCTATTCATAATTCCCTCCTTGTCCCTGATAAGTTGTGTGAACGGTAAGATCAGATGCGTGCCGAGAAGACTTACGCAGCTACTCAGTGAATCTGGCCTACACATGCAATATTGTATCATAAAGTACAGCATTATACAATTTCCCACAAATAATAAAATACAATTTAAATAAAATTATTAATTTATTTAAATAAAATAATAATTAAATAAAAAAACAAATATTTTTTTTTAAATAAAATGTTTGAGTCTAGTTGACACATTTAAACAAATACCTACAGTCATACGTATTCACTTAATGAGATTTCAGTTTTCTACTCCGGATTATCGACGGCCGTTATTTTTGATGCCTCAATTATTGACGCTGTTTCGCAATTTCATTTCATTGAAGGAAATGCGTTTACGTCCGCCTTTTGGCCCAGCACTGGACATAGTGCGGCGGCGCGGCGGGCGGGCGGGCGGGCGAAGTGGGTCGACAGGTGCCGATCGGCGCCACCGCCGTGTCCACGGAAAGCCACGCCCCCTCCCCCGGCGCCGAGCTGCGCCGAACGAATTGCGGCGCGCCTCCATGGGGCGACCTGGCGGGCGCTTGGGTGGCCTCCGCTCTTATACTCTAGCTAGCAATGAGCCCCACGTGATCACTAGAGCCGTTCCGGAAGTTTGGCGAAATGCCTCTTTATTATTGTTACGATTTTATGACTTTTCACAATAGTAGTCGCTTCATTGTATTTCTGGACTTGTTTTAGTAGATTTTCATTTTGCCTTATTTGTGCCTTTTTTCTGCTTTTTCTTTTTTGCCCCTATTTTTCCCTTTTTTCCTCCTGGCAGCAATCTCCATCAAGCTGGAAGCATGCCTGCAAGCCTGGACAACATTAACGCAGGGTCGTGTATTGTCTTTCGGTGGGCGCAGAGGCGTCAGTGCAAGGTTGTGTTAAAAATATAAAAGGGAAAGGAATATGATAGCAGAGAAGATGATTGATATTTTTCATTGTTGTTAACAGACTTCTTCCCTCACGAGGAACTCATCATATGTTTGGGTATGGCCTCAGATCTCTTTTGAGAGTATAGCTGTTTGTATACGATATACCCTCCTCAGTTCCTTCTTGTTCTCTCTTCCCTTCTGGTGATTACACAATTGGGAAGAACGAAATCTATAATTCCGTTTTCAGTGATAGCATTTCAAGATACAAAAGGGAATTCACAATAGCATTTCCTGGAGACAGCGTTACGGGTAAAATAAATTTGTAGTCGTCATACCGGATGGCCATGTGCAATCAAGATTGCCAAGAAAATATAGTTTATTTCTATGTACATGGTAATATTATTTTAGTTGGAATAAAAATGTAAATCATTTTAACTATTTTTTTACAATAATTATTTTTAAACAATGATTTTTCAATGTTTCCTCAGTTTAAGGCCTAACATTAGTCACAATAAATGCCCTTCTTGAGTATCTATTTTAGTAAAAATAAGTGCCCTTTTGGCCGCCTATTTAGGTTATATAAATGCCTGAACTAGTAATCACTTAATCCAATGGTCGTCACCTCCAATTTTGATGTTTTCTAAAAGCCTCCTTTTAACATTCCTGTCGTCCTTTGTATTATCATCAAATAATAATAATAATAATAATAATAATAATAATAATAATAATAATAATAATAATAATAATATAATAGTAGTAATAATAATACCAATATTTTATCTTATTTGTTAATATTATTTTAATTGTATGGGATCCAAAAACGGCCACCCCTTCTCCCCTGTCCATTCTGTCCCACACGTCCACTTTTCCTTCTTGTCCTTCAAAATCATTCATACTTTTAAACCGTTATACAATTTCCCTTGAAAACATTTCACGATTAATATGTTTGAGTGTCCTGACCTTCAAAAATCGATGTTTCGTCGTTGGTCTCCCTGGTGCGGAAAATAGGGGGGGGGGGTCATCAAAGGAAGTGTGTACGTCGCGGGATTTCAATTGAAACGCACAATGTTTTAAATGGATTCTTAAAGTTAACGAGTTGCCGCGGTAGATAAAGTAAGAGAAGTTCTGTAATAGATATTCATGAATTCAATATATAACTCTTACACTTCAATTATTTCCTCATCTTACAATATATGGTCCCGATCCTCTGACCCCATCAATTCATACATATTTGTGTAATAAATAAACTCTTTATTTGCATCAATATTAGATACTAAACAAACAATACACTCGTTAAAAAGATTCATCGGAAAGATAAGGTGCGCGTGTGGCATGCCAGAAAGCAGAGTAAAATTCCTAATCACATAGAGACGAACATGCTTTTTATAAATAGGTGAAAGTAATTCGTTTTTCTATGAGACGTGTCTTCCTTCGAAGCGGTGTTTACTATTTCCTGGGAACATCTCGGAGGCCCAAGTGTTCGTCTTCACTCACGAGGAGGAGGTGCGACCACCAACATTCTTTTGTCTCCCAAACAACGGGGCTCCACCTTCTTCCTTGGACCTGCCCGCCGGCAGGAACTCACTCACAGACAACCCAGCGCCTCAGTATGGCGCAACAGGATTGCGGAAGTTTGTTCCGAATTCACACGTCATGCGAGAATACGCGTCGCACACAAGTGGACGCAAATTAGTGTTTTAAGAGATTGTGTTCGAAAATCTGCTCATTAGATGAAGTCCAATTTAATAATATAAAAAGTTATATTCTCTAACATTAATATTCTCTTAGCCCTATTTCTCGAAAAAGTTCCTTACATTTTATTGAATTTTATTAAATATTCGAATGGTATCAGAGTTCCTTCTTTCTATTTTGAAACATATTTTTGTCACTAATTTCATTAGCTAGATTCCAAAGCATACCTCATATATCTAAGCAAAGAAAAATTCATTACGTGAATATATTGTCGTCAACACATTTCGTACATCAATGTCATTATAACGTACTGTTGTTTTCACTTTACCACACATACAAACACTTCTTAATCCAACATATTAAATTAATGTGAAGTGTTATACAATTTCTTTAAGGTAAGTTTTTAAGTGGTCACGACATACATTTTCAACAAACGTATTCTTTTATTCCAACATACTAGCTACCTGTCGACTTCCTCCACTTTAAATTCATGTTAAAAATCTCATCTTCGAATTAGGCAGCCTCGACGCTATTGTGCAACGTCCACATTACAGCTGCACTCACGCGTCTGTAACACGAGTCCCAAGAAGCGTATGACACTTGATACTGACCCCGTCGTATCGTTTTCAACATTCCTCACAGCGTGAATTCATTACAAATTACTTGCTACCGCCATCAGCTTCACTACTTTTGAATATATATTCAACGTCGCGACGATTAATACGTAAATACGTACGCAATTCGTATTCAACTTGAAATCGGAATATGAAAATGATGAATACCCAACCCGGATGCATTATGTCCAAAGTCAAAACACACGTTAATATAATTTGAAATGCGAAGATGACAGTTAAATAAAACAAGAAAAATGAAATGTAGGAAGGGATTAATCATGAACATTCAAAACATAATATTAATATTTCGACAGGTGTCGGTATTTAGGATTGCTTCGCATAAATCACGTATGTGATTCAACACGAAAAACGAAACAAGGGATACAAAAAACACGACTATAATTACATCTTTTTTCTCGCACCACTCATTCCACGAAATTGCCCGCGAATTCCAAGCGCCAATCCGCTCCCGCCAAAGCGGCCACGGTCCGCGCCTCCCGAAGGAAGGTTCCCGCGCCCGCCCACTGGTCGTCTTCTCGTTGCTTACCTGCATGAGGTACATGACGAGCGGCTAGGCACCAAGACGCGAGGGCGGGTTAGGCATGGCCCGGCGACGCCACTGCACTTGTCCGCTGCTTCCTTCTTCACTCCGCTTTTCCTTTTTTATTCCTTCCTTTCGTTTTGCAATCACCCACGCACAACAAACAGTAAGCTGGGCGTTTCTTATCGCTCACACAAATCACTCACGGGGGGATTGTTGTTCGAACAACACACGCCAGATGGTGACACGACGATAACTAGGTATGTTTAGTTTGATTCACTGATGACGACGAAGCGGCGTCGACGTCGATCACGTAAACGATGAACACAAATGTCGTCAACACTAATGACGACGGACTACGACGTCCACATCGGCGCGTGAACGTCCACGAAGCCGACGGTAGTGTTGACGACGATCGCGCACGCGCGCGCGGGTAGGACGGCGAGCGAGCCGGGCGCCGGTCTCCGAGGAACACGTGCGATCGCCAACCGCTCACGTGGCCGCGGAAGAAAGTCCGATCTTCCTGTCGACGGCCGCCACGCTCTCGGCAAGTGGGTCAACGGCAGGCGAGCCTGCCCGGGGGCGGGGAAACCGCGCAGAGCGAGCGTGCGAGCGAGCGTGCCTCGGACCGACCGTCCCGTGCGTGCGTCCTTCGCGGGGCCCGCGCGCGCCACAACTGCCGGCTGGCGCGGCCGCCGCGGTCGCCGCCGGCTCTCCGCCGCGGCCCGCCGCGAGAGTGCGCGGTGGCGTGCCGACGCCGCCAGGGGGCGCCCCGCCGTCCGCGCGGACCGCCTGCCCCTCGAAGCCGCGCGTGGCCCGCAGGCCCAGCTGAGCGCTGAGCCGGCAAGCGGAAAGGATCGTTCATGTAAGAAATATTTGATGACGTTGTGATATCGCGCGATGTATCTGTTTCGCGCGACATGTCCCTTCTTTAGATGTAACTTCTTCTACAAGGAGGGCCGGATACAAGGGAGGTCCGTCAGGACGCGCTTCTACCTCCTCCTCTAACAAGCATCGTGTGAGTCAGAATTGTCGTTTGCAAATGTAACTCGTGTAATGTCAGCCAATGGGACTAGTTTAAAACTAATGATCTACCGCAATATGCAGATAGTCACTATTTAAACTATTCCCTTATGTAAATCGAATTGACTATCTTATAACATACAACTTTCCAAACGTGATTAAAGCAATGTCGACTAAAGGATATCCTCCCCATGCCCTGAAATACGTCTTGGATCATCTAGTGGTTGCTATTCGGCGAAGCATTATTAACCTTCGTACTAATCGTGATCCCAGAGTCTGGCGAACAGCTATGATGCTCCTCTTTAAATTACAATAGTTGATTGCTTTTAATTAACATGTATAACGAGTGCCACAGACAGACAGTGCGCATCCAGTAAGGGCGTTGAGGCAGATAGGATTGTAATGAGAAAAGGAGGCGATGCGCACGTATAACTATATGGGTGAACATGGTTTCCGGTAGTACTTCGTTATGAAGACAGTTTTAATTTACTTCAAATATGTTCAAGTTCCTGATTTTCTCTCTGTTTAAACTGACAGACCGAGAAATTAATTAAGACAAAAGACGAGGAAGAAATTTTTAATGCCATCAGAAACGTCAAATGTTTAAACATAAATAAGTTGTAATTTATTAAACTCGCGTGTCAATTGTCGAAGGTTTAAAATTTCACTCTCTGCAGTTGGATATTTTATTCATTTACCTTAGTAAAGGTAGAACAAACAAGATATAAAAAGTTCAATGGAAAGCGGTGTGTTCCAGAAAGTGTACTCTTTCGCCTCATGTTTGCGCACGCTCGTATTCGTCATTTGACGGCCAAATGCCACATAATAAATTCTATAGCCATTTTGGTGTTCGTTTCGTGTCAAGACATAAATTGGGATTTTAATAATTTCTTGCGATGATAAAATCATACTATTTTGTCTTGCAATTATCCTAAGTCTAGAGTACTGGATGAAATAACCCAGATTTATTTATATTAACCTTTTTTTTTGTTAAAATGGGAACACACTTCAATATTATTACAGTAAATAATCGACGCGGATGATCTGAACCAAAACTTGGGGTCGGGCTGAGTGCGTGCGGGGGGGTGGTGGGGGAGAAGGCAGGTGGGGTGGTGGCGGTGCCGGGTGCGGGTTGGGCGCAATGGGGGTGAGGTGATGATGCGGGGGGAGGGGGGCGGGGCGAGGGAGGCGGGGCGATGGTTATAATGGGAGCAGGTGGAGCGCGTGCAGGGGGAGCGAAGGCGTCACCACCCCGCTGCGTTGGGACAAGACTGCTGGCGCCACAAACACTTCGTAGCTTTGAAAGTACGGCTCTCCGCTTTAAATTCCCAAGGGCATCTTCCACACCGAAACTACCGCTGGTCGAATAGTATTCACGGAATCCTAACGAAGGAGGAGCGCGTAAGATTATAACAAACGTTTTTTGTGATATGGAATATTTGATAAAGGAAGATAATATAGTCAAATCTAAGTATTACACTAACTGTACTGATGAAATTTATAAAGGTAATTATTAATACAAGTAGTAATTTGAAAATGATAACTAAGAAACGCGGCATTTCTCTAGTCTTCACAATATTTAATTTGTATGCTTTCTGTCGCATCCACGCAGACGCTCGGCCATGCTCGCTTTTGCCGATGTGACGCCTAGAAAACTAATGATCTCTCACATCACTTCTAAATTATGCAATTTTCGAAAATTTAAATAGTTCAACGAAAATGATACCTGTGCCGGTTTTAAGCGTTCTTCTTTCTACCCGTAGAAAACATTTAAAGGAAAAAAATGTCAAGAAATTGTACATTAACTTTTTTCAAAGAGCTGAATTTCAAGAAAATATTTTGTTTAAGGAATCTATCTTCAGCTTTCTAGTTTTTAAATGCTAAGTTTTATCATTTTTTTAAAACTACAGAGTTATTTCAGGAAATAGAATCAGCACCAATTTTTGTACCGTCCTTAGATACATACAAGGAGAAAATTTAAAGAAATAATTGGAGAATCATTGTTTAAAACTGCCTATATTTCTCTCAAAACTACGCGAAAACTATTGACGTTTTCGACAAATTGTGCATGCCTTTATTTCAAAATGTCTTGGGAGAGCAGATTTCATTAATAAAAAATCTCTGTATTCAATATTGTAGTTGAAGGAAGTTAGCCAAAAAAATTTTTTTTTTTTTTTTGAAAATCCAGTTCAGTGAAAATGAGACATGAATCTTTTTTGTAAACATTTTTTACGTTTTCATTTTTGTAAGTATTCTTTACGCTCTAAGAGGTTTTCTGTTGAAAACTCTCCGCTTTTTGGTGCAAATTACTTAGGGCTACGAAGTAAGGCGAGAAAGAAAGAAACTGTTCAGTTCCCACTTCGTTGTGCTAGAATCTGCTGCCTTGTTCTACCTTACGGAAAATGCAGCTCCTCGCTTGGTATTTACTGAGCCCAAGCATTTCACGCTCGCCCTGCCCGCAGCTGCCTCTAGAGCACAACTAAGAAAACCAACATTTGCGGAACACCTCGACAACATGACATTGAACGAGCAGTCGCTTGCTACTCGTAGATTGTGTGAAGCTGCCTTCAAGCAGACAGACAGAGAGCACTCTCTTATGGGCGGTTGGGGCAGGCTCCTGCTTGTAATGGGTCCCCGATTGGCGTCTCCTCGTAAACTCCAAATGGACTCGCCTTGTTACTGAACCGATCTCGACGGCTCCAGAATCGAGTTTCGACACTGTGAAGGAAGAAAGAAGGAAATGCGGTTCAGAGATAACTATTCCAGACAACCCTCTTTTTCGTACAATGACGTCGGGCGACCACTTTTTCAGGTAGCATTTCAGCTGTTTGAGCTCAAGAATGCGGAAGAAAATGTGAAATAACATTAACTACAATGTCATGTTGATAAGAGAAACTATGACCAAATAATAACTTCCACCCTGGAAAGCACATCAGCGGCTTTGCGGACACAGGCGGAGTGCGTTATGTAGACATGAAAAATTATAAACGTAAAATTTAATTTACCGTAATCTCGGAAGTTGGCTTTAAGTTAGTTTTTTCCCACTTAAAATTCATAACAATATGTCAAAAGTGATACGCTGAGACATTTCCTTTACACGTTTCAATTAATAGCGTTCACACAGCTTTCAAGTCGACTGTGTGACTGCAGTGATTGACTGTTTCTTATTCTTATTTTGCTTCGTTTTACGTCTAGAGCCGTATTTCTCATGGCAAGGTTGACCACGTACTCGGGTTTCGTGGGAAAGTAGGGTCTAGTCGACTTGATGTTTTTTGTAATGATTTTTTCATTTAACCTGAATTTAAAACTATGATTATTTGTTATTTATTTTTATTTAAAACGTGTTCAATTGAGATATTTAATTACTTTCGTGACTTGAGTAAAAGCTAGTAAGAGCTGCATTTGTGAATATATGCCATCGGCTTCTAGTGAGGCTGAGATCCCCCCACTGTGGGTGCACCACTTTCAATGATTTGGACTCTTACCTCTCTTGGTGAAGCATGTGTAGGACCAACGTCCAGATCCACCACACGAAGCCGAAGGCTACAAGTTCGAGTATCACGTAGGGCATGAGAATTGTCATCAGGTGATTGTGGGATGGTTGGCTATCCCATACCACCACGAGTGACATCTGGACCATCATTGCTTCTATTGTCATATTCGAACTACAACACTATTTCAAAATGGTTCCTACCGTTCCACTATTCCAGAGTGGCCACTCCTAGATATTTTTACTCATGAATAGAGCTGATAGTTCTTTAATTAGCGTATGAGACAAGTGACTTCTACATTTTCGAAAACAATTACAAACACATTATTTTGTTCATTCTTAGTTTCAAAACGTTTCGTTTAGGAAATTAAATCTCAAATCTAGGTTTTATGAGTTAGGTCGTGTGAGGTAAGTCACGGGCAAGGCAAATTAGAATGAAAAAATCCTCAATTTTGGCCTTTAATCGAAAAAAAAGAACAGTTGAAATACACCAGTTCCATGCTACTGTAACAAGTCCCCTTGTTACAGTATAATGGATCTGGTATATTCCAACGGTTCTTTTTTTCGTTTCATTTTAGGATGACAATGAAAAGAGTCGATTTTGTAATAGACGGGTCATTGTGGCACTTATTGCTGTGTGAACAATCCAACGACAAAGGATGTCAAGCAAACCGGCCACACACAAGATAAGGTAGAAAGCTCTCATACAGTTTACGATTAAGAACGTGGGTTGTGCACACCTTGTAGACGACACGTGCTGTGAAAGACAGCCGTGCTTAGACCTTTCCAGGCTCGAAATTTGTCTTTTTCCATTTACACGCCGACTAGAACTCAACTTTCTCCCAAACAAACATGTCGACATTCTTTAACACTGAACTTTTGTCCAGTTGTTAGCACTCCCTTTTCTTAATTTAATTATTATTGAACAAAACTGTACTTAAAACTAGTAATTTAAAACAAATGTTTTATAATTAACAATGTTCTGTATTGCGAATCACTAAAGCTGTGAAATATATTAACATATCAGATTACATATTTTAATTTGAAAAATTAAATTAATTAAAATAGAATGTTATTCATCACTTTAATTTCAGCGTCTGATACACTACAAATAAGGACTTAACTCACGTGTTATAACTCACATATATAACAATCCAATTACTGAAGAAGTTTTTTAACATTATTTTTTACAAAACAATGACATCTTCTGCAAGTTGGAGCAGTGTTTTCGTGGTTTAATCAAACGAATTATTTTTATCTCAATAATAATAATAATAATAATAATAATAATAATAATAATAATAATAATAATAATAATAATAATAAAGTACAGGTCTCCCAGGAATATCTAG